TGCCTCCAACAGCCAGTTGACGAAGCATGCGGAACACCCCAGAAGATCCTCAGATGCCGTCGCGCGCCTGTGCTTGATAGCGTTGTCCAAGATCGTCCAGCGCCCCCCCGGCCTGGGCTAGAACCTGAGCGCGCGCGAAGCGCGCGCGATGGTTCTAACCCAGGGGCCCGAAAACAGCTGCCCGACCCTCCATGCGAGTACCGGGGCTCATTTTCGCTGTGTTTTCACGGGGTTTCGGCGTCCCGGGCCTCGGAGGCCGCCGCGATGGTCCCGGACATTTTCCAGATCCTCGGCGCGGGCTCCAAGACCATTCCGCAGAGGGCTCCAACAGGCTCCAGGGCAGCCCAAGAGGGCTCCAAGACTGCTCCAGGAACGACTGCAGGGTCTCATTTTTTTTGTTTTCTGCAAGACGGCTCCAGGAGGACTGCATGTCTTCTGAGGATGGCTTCCGCCTCTTGCCCCGAGCATCCCAAACTGCCTGAACGGTTCCCACTCGCCTTACTCAAACCCAGCGCTTGCCCAAGCGCGTTCCGGACGGTCTTCGCCGGAACGCGCTGGAATGATCACGCGCTGCGGTTTCCCATGCCAACGTCCTCGGACGTGGGCGCCCTGCCACGAGCGCGTTCCGGGAAGATGCTCCTGGAACGCGCTGAAAAGATATGGCCACATCTCGGGGACGCTCCCGGCACTGCTGCCCCAGCCTTTCTGGGCAGCCTCCACAGCGCTCCAGGAACGCCCAAGACGCCCCCTAGGAGCCCCCAGAATGCGAAAGGATGGCCCAAGACGCTCCCGAGCAGCCCAAGTCAGCCTTCCGACGGCTCTCGAGGCTCCCAAGTGGCCTCTAAGAGACCCCAAGAAGTCTGATAATTATCGCGGTACGGCCCGGAGAGGCCAAAATCGTATATGTTCAATGTTCTTTTCAATGTTTTTGGCTTCTCGCGTTTTCGAGCTCCCATCGGTCCAAGAGCGCCGAAAAGCCTCCATGGGGGACCCGGGCTCATTTTGGCTGTGTTTTTAAAAGGATTTCCGCGTCCTGGGCCTCGGAGGGCGCCACCTCCGACCCCCCATGGGAGGAGGGGCGGCCGGGGAGGTCCAAAATAGTCCAGGAGGGCCTCCAGAGGCTCCCAAGACGGCCCAAGCGGGCCCCGAGTCGCCGAAAGACCGTTCCAGGACGCCCAAGATAAGCCCAAGACGGCCCGAGAAGCCTCCCAAGGCACTCCACGACGCTTCAAGACGCCTCTCCAGAGCGCTTCCAGAGGCCGAAATCGTCAATTGTACGAAGGTTTTCGGCCGATTTTGGCCTTCCAGCCTTTTCGGCTGTCCGACGTTCCACGACGGCTCAATAGGCCCCCAAGAGCGCCCCAAGACGGCCCAAGAGGGCCCCAAGACGGCCCCAGAGTCGCCCAAGACAGCCCAACAGAGCCCCAAGACGGCCCCAAGATGCGCCCAAGAGAGGGACCACGACTCCAAAATTCGACCCTCCGGCTTGAAGAGTGCCCCAGGAGGCCCCAAAGAGCCCCCAAGAGGCTCCAGGGGGCCCCCAAGAGGCACCCAGGAGGCCCAAACGATGCCTACAGAGGCCACAAAACAGCCCCGAGGAGGCCCCACAACGGTCCCAAAACGGCTACCGAGAAGCTGCGAAACTGCCTTCACGACGTCCCCGACAGGCCAACCACGAGATCCAAACCAACACCCATGAGGCCTCTGACCCACCACCCAGGGCACGGTGGCGGGAGCAGTGACAGCACTTGTGCACAGCATGTTCCGGCGGGAGCCTTCCAGAACACGCTGCAGGAGGAGGAGGAAGATCAGGAGGAGAGAGAGCTGGAGTGGGAGGAGGAGGAGGGGGACGAGGAGGAGGAAGAGGCCTCCCAGACAGCTCCAAGATAGCCGAAGAGGCTTCCAAGAGGGCCCTGGGCGGCCCACGAGGGCCCCAAGGCGGTGCCTGAGGCGCCCAAGACGGCCCGAGAGGGCCCCAAGACGGCCCCAAGAGAGGCCCAAGAAGGGAAACATGAACCGAGAATCCGAGCTTTCTACCCCGAGAGGTTCCCGGGAAGTCCCAGGAGGCCCCCAATCGGATCCAAGAGGCCCCCACGAAGCTCCCAAGAGGGCCGACAAGGCTCCAAGAGATCTCCCAAGGTGGCCCCAAGAGGCACAGCTCATTGTTTTACTATTGGGCTTTGACGTTTTTTTTTTCTGCCTTTTGGCATCCCGATGCTCCAAGACGGCCCCAAAGGCTTCCAATACCGCTCCCACATAGAGGAAGAGGCCTCCAAGAGGGCCCCAAGACGGCCCGCGAGGGCCCCAAGACGGTGCTTGAGGCGCCCAAGACGGCCCGAGAGGGCCCCAAGAGCCCCAAGAGAGGCCCGAGAAGGGGAACGCGACCCAACAGCAGAGTGGTCCCCCCACAAGGCCCACAGGAGGCTGCAAGAGGCCCCAAAGTGGTCCGACGAGGACCCCAAGGCTCCCCGAGGGCCCAAAAGGCCCCTGGGAGACGTCCAAGAGGTTTTAAAATAGCCCAGGAGTGCCCCAAATGCGTCAAAACTGCTTCCAGGAGGCCCCCAGGAGGCTTCCACATTGCCTCAATCTGGCCGCAGGTGGCCTCAAGTCGGGCCTCCACGCAGCCAAGACGGCCAATGACGGCTTCAGATTGCAGAACCGATGCCCCCAAGGGACCCTCAGACGCCCCCCCAAGAGGAGGTGCCTCCAACAGCCAGTTGACGAAGCATGCGGAACACCCCAGAAGCTCCTCAGATGCCGTCGCGCGCCTGTGCTTGATAGCGTTGTCCAAGATCGTCCAGCGCCCCCCCGGCCTGGGCTAGAACCTGAGCGCGCGCGAAGCGCGCGCGATGGTTCTATATATATATATATATATATATATATATATATATATATAACACGCGTGCCGTGATTGTTTTGCAGCGCGAGGGGGCACGGATAAGGGCTAGAAATGCTGCTTCCTCAAATAGAAGGGGGCAATGTTTGCTTCCTGGAGCTTTCTTTAAGGAGGGCTCTTGGAGGCCTCTCGGGGTGTCTTGGGGGCCTCCTGGGCCGTCTGGAGGCCACCTGGAGCGTCTTGGACCGATCGCTCTCCCCCAATCGTGACTTTTTCCATGACGTGACCCTCACAAGTCTGGACCCCTTCCTGTGGACCAGCTTCTCATCCTGAGTCGTTTTTGACGGTCCCGAGTCCTGGTGAGGGCCCCTGGAGGCCGAAAGTTGCGAAAAACTTCCCGTCGGGATTTTTCTCAGATTCCTCTGAGGATCGGGAGGGGGAAACATCCCACAGAAAGAAACGCCGATCTCCAGGAAAATGTTTGAAACAGATTGGAAGTGGAGGGAGAGACGAACATCCAGAAGATCTTGAAACACACGGAGAATCCTGGGATTCGTGTCTACAGTCAACGCGCCTGGTCGGGACGCGCGCCGTACCTCGCGTGCTCTCCCCATCCTTCTCAGCTCTTTTTGCGGAGGCTCCTCCTTGAAGAGCTTTTTGGGGGGGCCTCGCAAACGTTTTTCAGGCTCTCAAAGCCTTCTGGAGGCCTCCTAGGCGTCTTCTGGGGGCCTGTGGGGGCTTCCTCGGGCCACCCCTGCCTCCAACCGCGGTCTCCCTGAACGACCGGGTCACGATTCGGAATGCTTCGGAGGGCGTCTTGGGGCCATCTCGGGCCGTCATGGCGCTCTCTTAGGCCATCTTGGAACCCTGTTGTGCCGTCGTGGGGCTCTCTTGGACTGCCTGGAAGCCCGTTCGGGTAATCGTGAGGCGATTTTCGACCCGCCCAGAAGACCGCCGTCTTGGAGCGTCGGGAAGCCGAAAAGAGGATAACCCCACAATTCACCAAAACCCACAAGAAAATCAATGAAGTTTGCATCTTGGAGGCCTTCTTGGGAGTGCTCTTGGAGGCCTCTTAGGACGTTTTGGATTGATCTTTGGGGGTTTGACGACTTCTTTGGGTTCGTCGTGGACCGTTTTGGGGCTATTTGGGTCGTTTCGGGAGCGCGCTGCGTGTGAGTGTGTGTGTGTGTGTGAATGTGTGTGTGTGTGTGTTTGTGTGTGTGTTTGTGTGTTGTTTCTGTGTGAGTGCGTGTGTGTGCGTGTGTGTGTGAGTGTGTGAGTGTGAGTGTGAGTGTGAGTGTGTGTGTGTGCGTGTGTGCGTGCGTGCGTGCGTGCGTGCGTGCGTGCGTGCGTGCGTGCGTGCGTGCGCGCGCGTGCGTGCGTGCGTGCGTGCGCGCGTGTGTGCGTGCGTGCATACGTACGTGCGTGTGTGCGTGCGTACGTGCGTGCGTGCTTGCGTGCGCGTGCGTGTGTGTGTGTGTGTTTGTGTGTGTATGTGAGTGCGTGTGTGTGTGTGTATGTGTGTGTGTGTGTGCGTGCGTGCGTGCGTGCGTGCGTGCTTGCGTGTGTGTGTGTGTGTGTGTGTGTGTTTGAGAGTGTGTCTGTGTGCGTGTGTGTGCGTGTGCGTGTGCGTGTGCGTGTGCGTGTGCGTGTGCGTGTTCGTGTGCGTGTGCGTGTGCGTGTGTGTGTGTGTGTGTGTGTGTGCGTGTGTGTGTGTGCGGTTTCTTTGTGCGTGTGGGTCGTGTGTTTGTTTGTGCGCGTGTGTGTGTGTGTGTGTGTATGTGTGTGTGTGTGTGTGTTCGGTCAGGGGCTTCTGTGCCCGGCTTGGGGTGCACTTGCGTCACCGGGTGCAGCTTGGCCCCTCGGGCATGGCCGGGAGGTTCCAGAAGGGTCTCCGATCCGCTGCTCCATCCTCCCCCTCCCACCGAGCCGTTCCGAGCTGCATTTGGTAGACATGACCTGGAGCTCTTGAGCAATCCGGGAGTGGCGGCGGCGGCGGCGGCGGAGGAGGCCAGGAGGCGCAGCGGTCGGCGCTCGCCGCGCGCCTGGCTCCAGAGATGCCGGGCAGCTTAGCCGCGGCCTCCCTGGGGCGGCCGGGCCAGCTGGGGCCCGCCGGGCGGGCGGTCATCCAGCAAACACGGCGCCGGTCAACGCCATTGAGGACATGGCGGGGCCAGGCACCGGTCACAGGGAGCGGGGGAGCCCTCTTGGCCTCCTAGCTGGCTTCGCCCCCCTCCAACCGTCCTGGCCTCCCTCCTCCCCTCCTGGCCGCCTGCTTCTGCCTGTGAGGCAGCAGTCCACGCTCATCCCGCCTCTTTCGCGAAGGGGTAGGATCCCGATGCTGTCAAGCGCAGCCGAAGCTGGCAGCAGCGCTGCGCCAGGGAGGGCAGAACTCTTCAGTGAGGGCAGAACGCTTCATGATTCTTGCGGCCCCCCCCCCCTCCCCATCCTTCCCCCCCTCCCCTCCCCAGCCTTCCCCCCCTCCCCTCATCTCTCAGTCCCTGCCCCCCTCCTCCCACCCCCCCCTGGCCCGGGAAACGGGGGGACGAGGGTTCGGCGATGTGGATAGGGAGAGGGGGAAGGAGGAGATGGAGGGGGGGACGAGCGAGAAAGAGGAGGAGGAGGAGTGGGAGGGGGAGAAGGCGGAGGAGGAGGAGGAGGAGGAGGAGGAGGAGGAGGAGGAGAGGAGGAGGAGGAGGAGAAGCATGGGGAAGAAGAGAAGGACGAAGAGGAGGTGGAGATTGAAGGGTAGGAGGAGGTGGAGGAAGAACGGGAGAGCAGGAGGAGGAGGAGGAGGCTGGGCTGGCATCGGCTGAGCTCGACGATGCCGCCAGGGGAGGGGGGGGGCGACTGACTCCCCGACGATCTGCGGGCGGTGCTGCCCGGGGCCCCCGTGCTCACCGACTGATTGCAGCATGTGGATGCTCGCCAGTGTGGACCCCAAACAGTAAGTAATTGCGCTGTGGATGTGTAAGCTATGTGGTGTAAGCTATGTTGTGCAGTATACGTGGTGCAAGCCCGAGGCGGCTACGAAGCGGCAATGGGCGGCAACGTGGCGAAACCTCGCCAGACAAAGCCAGCGCACCAGGCGGCAACGAGGCGGCAAAGGGTGGCAACGTGGCGAACCCGGGCCAGGCCCAACCAGCGCACGAGGCGGCAACGAGGCGGAAATTGGCGGCAACGTGGCGAAAAGCCTTGCCAACTCCACCCGGCGCACGAGGCGGCAACGAGGCAGAAACGGGCCGCAACGAAGCGAAATCTCGCAGGACCCACCCAGCGCACGAGGCGACAACGAGCTGGAAACGGGCTGCAACATGGCGAACCCTGGCTGGCCCAGCAAGCGCACCAGGCAGCAGTGAGGCGGCAACGAGTGGCAGCGCAGCAGAACATCGCCAGACCCACCCAGCGCACGAGGCGGCAACAAGACGGCAATGCGGCGGCAATGCGCAGCAACGTCGCGAAACATCGCCAGACCCACCCAGCCCACGAGAAGGCAAAGAGGCAGCACCGGGCGGCAACGTTTCGAAACCTCGTCTGGCCCTTGCAGCTCCTTAGAACACGAGTAAGAACCTTAAGCGCAAGCACTGTTTGCGAAATGCATGTCGTTATCTCTCTGTATCTCTCTCTCTCTCTCTCTGTTCCGCTCTCTCTCTCTCTGTCTCTCTCTCTCTCTCTCTCTCTCTCCTCTCTCTCCCTCTCTTTCTCTCCGTCTCTCTCAGTTCCTCCCTCCATCGCCCCCTCCCTCTCTTCCCCTCTCTCCCTCTCATTCTCTCTCTCTCTCTCTCTCTCTTTCTCTTTCTCCATTTATATATGTTGTTGGTCATCCCTCCAGACACACATATTCCTATTTATATATTTTTACAGTGCCAGGGACCCCGGAAAAGCGGCACACGGTGCCCCCCCCCCCAAAACGAATTTCGGCCTCCCCGAGCCTTGGGGGCGCTCCTGCAGAGTGCTCCGTGTCTGTCCTGCGAGTGCGACGCGAAAAAAAAAGCCCCCACGACGGCCAAAGAGGGCCCCGAGACACCCAAAGATCGGCCCAAGACGCCCATTCTGGGCCCAAGACTGCCCAAGACGCGTCCAAGACGCCCCCAGAGACCCCCAAGAGGCCTCCCAAGAGAGCCCCGAGAGGCTACAATTGTTGATTTTCCTGTGTGTTTTTCCCTACCTAGGCTCTGCCTAGAAGGGTTCTTACTCTCTTAGCTTAAAGGGGCCGGGCAGTGGAGCACGCCCCGGGCGGTTCCCCCAGTCCTCTGGGAGCGGTTCCCCCCAGTCCCCTGGGAGATTTAGCTTTAGCTTTAGCTTTAGCTTTAGCTTTAGCTTTAGCTTTAGCTTTAGCTTAGCTTTAGCTTAGCTTTAGCTTAGCTGCAGCTTAGCTTTAGCTTAGCGTTTTGCTTAGCTTTTCGCTTAGCGTTTAGCTTAACTTTAGCTTAGCTTTAGCTTAGATTGAGCTTAGCTGTAGCTTAGCTTTAGCTTAGCTGTAGCTTAGCTTTAGCTTAGCTTTAACTTAGCTTTAGCTTAGCTTTAGCTTAGCTTTAGCTTAGCTTTAGCTTAGCTGTAGCTTAGCTTTAGCTTAGCTGTAGCTTAGCTGCTGCTCAGCTTTAGCTTAGCTTCAGCTTAGCTTCAGCTTAGCTTTAGTTTAGCTGCAGCTTAGCTTTAGCTTAGCTTTAGCTTAGCTTTAGCTTAGCTTCAGCTTTGCTTTAGTTTAGCTTTAGCTTAGCTTTAGCTTAGCTTTATATTAGCTTTAGCTTAGCTTTGGCTTAGCTTTAGCTTAGCTTTAGCTTAGCTTTAGCGTAGCTTTAGCTTAGCTTTAGCTTAGTGTTACTGTTACTATTAATGCTGCTTTCCTAGGGGTTCCAACTCCTAGGTAGGGTCGCACTGGGATAATTCAATGTTTCTGGCCTTCTCGTTTTTCCCGCTTCCCGACGCTCCACAATGGCCCAAGAGGCTCCCTGGATCGCCCAAGTACTGCCCAAGAGGCCCCCAAGAAGGCCCCAACACGGTCCAGGAGGGCTCCGAGACCGCCCAAGAGGCGCCCAAGACGGCCCAAGAGAGCACCAAGACGGCCCCAAGAGAGACCCAAGAGGGCGCCCAAAAATTCAAAAACTAAATCTTCCGCCGCGAGAGGGCCCCAAGAGGCCCGGAGAGAGCCCCAAGAGGCTCCCAAGAGGCCCCAAGGAGCCCCCACGAGGCCCCCAAGAGGCCCCAAAAAGATCCCAAGAACCCCAAAACACCGCCAGGAGGCTTCAAAACTGGCTCCCAGAGGGCCCCGAGAGGCGCACCACGAGATCCCAACACAGCGGTCTCCCCCTCTCATTATCCCTTCTCCTTGTCGTCGCCTTCTTTGTCGTCGTCGTCGTCGTATCAAATGGCGCAGCGAGGCCATTTTTCGTTCAAACCACTGAAGGACCCAAGAGCTCCTCCTCCTCTTCCTCATCCTTTTCCTCCTCTACCTCCTTTTCCTCCTCCTTTTCCTAATTCCCCGTGATGTTTCACGTTCCGCCCCGCCAAAGGTCTAGCAGAAGCAGCTCTCCTCACTCTCCCAAGTCTCTCCTGCGGATTTCTTCCGCGACACCTCGGCTGCGTCCCAGATATCCACAGCATCTGTCCTCTTCATCATTTTCCTCCTCTTCATCCTCCTCCTCTTCCTCCTCCTCCTTCTCCTCATCCTCTAGGGAGCGAAGACGAGGGGAGGGGGATACATGGGGATTGAGCACCTGGACGCGGCGCCCTTGCCTACCTTACCGGAGAGGGCCGGCCGAGTCCGAGGGGCCCCTGGGGGATTTCAAAACCTGCACCGCTTCTTGCATCTTGCACTACCTTCGGGCCCCCTTGGCGGCTTGGGAAAAACCGTTCCTAATTCGGGAGGGTTCTCTCCCCCTTTGCCGCTTGACTCGCAGAGAGGCCGAGCGGCACAGCGCCGCGCCGCCAGGGATGGGGAGAATGGACAAAAAAAGAAGCGGAGAGGGGGGGGAGGAAGAGGAGGAGGAACAGGAGGAGGAGGAGGAGGAGGGGGAGGAGGAGGAGGAAGGGAAAGGAAAAAGGGAAGGAGGAAGAGGGGATAACGGAAAGTAGTCTAATCCGCTTCGCCAGAGATATGCTCGCAACTCCGACCTCAGAAGCGCCTTGCATCGCATCGGTCCCGCCGTTTTCGCTTGAGACATCATCGCAGAGCTTCTCAGTTGAGGTGTTCCAGCCGCTGCCGCCTGAGACGCTCTCGCAAGTCTCACTTCGGAGGTGCCTTGCACCATGGTGGTTCGGCCACTTTCGCGCGCGACTTCTCGCAACTCTAAGTTCAAGGATGCCTTGAGCAGAGGTGTTCAGACCACTCCTCGCTTGAAACTTCCACGCGCGGCTGACTCCGGATACGCCCTCCCCTGAGCGGAAGTGTTCAGGCCATTTTCACCCAGGACGTCCTCGCAATACTGACCTCGGCGACGCACTGTCCCACGGTAGTCTGACCGCGTTTGCCTGAGGCCCTCGCGCCTTTTAGTGGCGCGATGATATGAGCAACTGGTCAGGCCACTACCGCCTGATATACGCATGTGTATGCGCACACATAGTTACACTGACCATTTTGCATATACATTTACATATCCATACAAACGTATATATATACATATACGTGTATATATATATGTATATATATACATATGTACATATGTACTATGCATTCATGGACGCATGTGCGTGCGCATGTACGCACGCTCGCACTCCGCTAGCGTGCGAATTCCACTGGACCAAGGTGCATGGCGCGCAGCGCCAATGCAGTCTTGTGTGTATGTATATGTATATGATTTTTATATATATATATATATATATATATATATATATATATATATATATATCCCTGGGGGCGAGGCCGGGGGCCCCAGGACAGGTGCCTCCACCCCCCATGGGGGGACCGGGGCTCATTTTCCCTTTGTTTTTAAAGGTTTCCGCGTCCTGGGCCTCGGAGGCCGCCGCCTCCGACCCCCCATGGGCCAGGAGGGCCTCCAGAGGCTCCCAAGACGGCCCAAGCGGGCCCCGAGTCGCCGAAAGACCGCTCCAGGACGCCCAAGATAGGCCCAAGACGGCCCGAGAGGCGCCCCAAGGCACTCCACGACGCTTCAAGACGCCTTTCCAGAGCGCTTCCAGAGGCCGAAATCGTCAAGTTTACGAAGGTTTTCGAACGATG